TAAGAATTGCAAATAACCATGTGAATGTCAGGTTTAGTAAATATGCCTGTGTTTTTAATGTATATTTTCAAGCCACTTTACTAATATAGTTATAATCAGCCATATCAGCCATATCTTCTGATTCATACATTACAAAAATGTATATTTATAGTGATTTTTTAGCCATTTCTTTTAAAAAAATTATCAAAAATGCATGTTGAGAATTCTGCCAAAGCCAGTTCGAAGGATTAGCCCAGAGAATTTCTATAATATACTTCTTAGAAAATAAGATGTTACATGTGTGCATTAGTACACTTCAGTAAATGCCACACCAAGATAGTCTTTTTATAAAATAATTTACTTTCCAGCTATAACATTCATTATTTTTCTTTGTTTGATAGCAATTTATTTTGAAGTTGATTCTGGATCATATGACATAAATTGGCTATTACATTAACTGACATTTCCACAGGAATATTTTGAAATAATTATGTAAATTTTGAAGAAGCATTATTTTAAATCCAGCTCTTCTATCCAGCATACTGAATACACTTTTATAATTACTAAATAATCTTTTGTTGTTGTTGTTAATTGTGAAGTCGTGTCCGACCCATTGCGACCCCATGGACAACGTTCCTCCAGGTCTTCCTGTCCTCTACCATCTTCTGGAGTCCATTTAAGTTCATACCTACTGCTTCAGTGACTCCATCCATCCATCTCATTCTCTGTCGTCCCCTTCTTCTATTGCCCTCAATCTTTCCCAGCATTAGGCCCTTCTCCAGTGAGTCCTTTCTTCTCATTAGATGGCCAAAGTATTTGAGTTTCAACTTCAGGATCTGGCCTTCTAAAGAGCAGTTGGGGTTGATCTCTTCTAGGACTGACCGGTTTGAACGCCTTGCAGTCCAAGGGACTCGCAGGAGTCTTCTCCAGCCCCATAGTTCAAAGGCCTCAATTCTTTTGCGCTCAGCCTTTCTTATGGTCCAACTTTCACAGCCATACATTGCAACTGGGAAAACCATGGCCTGGACTATACGCACTTTTGTTGGCAGGGTGATGTCTCTGCTTTTTAGTATGCTGTCTAGATTTGCCATAGCTTTCCTCCCCAGGAGCAAGCATCTATAGTTTATAGTTGCTCAAATCAGCTAGCTCCTCTAGCAAAGGCCTAATCACTGACACAGTTGCATTCTATATAAAAAAAATCACTATATCTCTACAGAAATGCATAAAACCAAGGATAAAAGCCTTTTTGAATGCACATGAATTAATATAAAAGGAAAAAAGAATGACATTGTCATAGGTGTATCCTACAGGCCACCCACCCAACCATACAGAAGAAATAGATGAATTTTTTGCTAATCGGTTAACTAATGTATGTAGGTAACACATCACAGTAGTAATGGAGAACTTTAATTACTCTGACATCAATTGGGAGACAAATTCTGCATCAACTGGGAGATCAAACAGGTTCCTGATGAGCCTAGATGACAATTTTCTCATCCAAAAGGCAGAAGAAGGAACTGGAGAAGGAGCTGGAACCACTGAACCATATCTTTCATAGATCCTGGAGCACCAGGGAAATAGCAGAGGACTGGAAAAGAAATGACGTGATTCCTATCCTCAAAAAAGGGGGAAAAATTGATCCAGGAAACTACAGACCAATCAGCCTAAATTTTTTAAGAAGAGACTGGACAGCCATTTGTCCGAAATGGTGTAGGGTTTCCTGCCCGAGCAGGGGGTTGGACTAGATGACCTCCAAGGTCCCTTCCAACTTTACTACTACTATTATTATAGATCTGCAAACACTTAGAAGCAAGCAAAGATATAACCAGAAACCAACATGCTTGAAGCCAACAGTTTGAAAAGAAAAACCAATTCTGCCAGCAAAAACATTTGAGGAATGTAATTCTGGGTGAAGTACAAATAGCTTTGATAACCTAAGTCTTAACTGAATTAAGTCTTTTTTTGTAGAAATAAAAATTACACATATAAGGATGTGTATTTATCTGAATTCCCTTTTTCTACAGCTGAAATATAATGCTTACAGCTTTGTGTAAAAGTCCTGATCAATTATAGCAATCAACATTTAATTGTTAGTCTAAAAAATAATGAAAATAATGAATTAAATGCAAATGTTAATCTTTTAAAAATAGAAGAGGAAACAGTAAAGGGAACTTTAATTTGCAATACCACTGTGTGCAGTATTCTTTAGAAAATCCACTAATTTCATTGGTATGTTGAATACTTGAGAACAAAATGTGAAGTTTATTATTCCTTCTCCAGACAGTAGAACTTGTTCATAAATAACATGTAATACACAAATATATATGAAAGCCTAAAATTAATTACCCCAACTATCAGCCTCATGCATATGCCCAACTGTGCAGTCTAGTCATCATGCATAATGCTGTAAAATTTAGCTTTCAGCATATTTCACTTTTATAATTTTTTCATTCAGTCTACATTTAGTAGCTGTCTTCCATATAACATGTTTAAAAGAATGTTTTCATTTAGGTATCCATTGCAAGCCAAACCACTGCAGGTTCAGAGCCGCTCAATGAAAGTGTGTGTGTGTGTGTGTGTGTGTGTGTGTGTGTGTGAGAGAGAGAGAGAGAGAGAGAGAGAGAGAGAGAGAGAGAGATTTTATTTGTATGACACAGCTGACACTGACTTTGCCATTCTTTGAGAGTTACATTCACACTATCTTTGGTTTTGACTGATCCTAATACTTAAGCACAATAATCTACCAGTATGGTTATGTAACTGTTTATTGTTGACTCTTAAGAAATATGCAATCTGCAGTTCTAAGGTCACATGTATCCTTAGCTTTATTTCATGTGCCTTAAAAAAAAATATTGGCCCTTTGCAAACGATAAATTCAGGCCTCAAGGAAAAGTCAACTGTCCTTCAGCAACCTAATACATAAACAAAATACATAAAAGAGACTATCCAAAACAAAAAAAGGAGTGATTTTTTTCCTAGAAAACAAAACAAAAGTACTTCTGCCATCATAGGTTGCTCCCTTCACTGTGCAAATCATTAGTGTGTCATATAAGCCTCAAAAACTTACTGCAGTGAGAATGTATTCTTGCCTAAAAGCAGTAGTAGGATTCAGCTGGTTTGCACCAGTTTGACAGAACCAGTAGCTAATTTTTTTGTTGCCCAGGCCCAGAATGGACTTCTGGAAGCAGCATCCACACAGAGAACCAGCTGTTCACATATTTGAATCCCACCATTGCCTAAAAGAAAATAAACTTTTCCAAACCTGCCTCTATATTTATTTCAGACTAATGAAAGACCCATCCATTAGAAAAACTCAGCTTACTCAAATGTACTCCTATAATTTACTTCCTCTATTAATCAATTAATAACTCAAGAAGTTGGCTGTTTATGAAAGTACTAAATTTAATCTAAAGCCTTTATTAAGAGATTTTGCAAAAGAATTTTGGAAACTAAATATGTTTTCCAAGTAATCGCTATTTAATAAACTGTTAATATAAAATTCAAATTGGATAAAAAAAAACCAATTCCATTTTGAATAAACTATGGTGTTTAGTCTTCTGTATTACTTATTCTTCTACTATCCTAAGACATTTTGCCCATCCACGCACATCAATTTTTTTCAAAAGATTTCAGTTAAGTAAGAAATAAAAAATGTGCAAATTGCATTACCTGTTCAACTGTTAATTAAATCAAAATGTATTTTGTTGCAAGAATTTTGGAAAAGGGTGGTTTATTTTTGCTTTCTAGTTTATTGCTCACTTTTGAAGGTGGCCTACCCTTTTTCCCAATACAGATTAGGAACTGGATACTTTGTTCCCAAGACATATGGATGGTACAAGTCTGGGAAAAATAGGTATAAGGAAAATCCTGTAGCAAATAGCTATTTAAGATTCAGAGCCATTATTCTTATAAAACAGAATTAGGTTTATATTAATTGTCTCAAAGGTTCTTTTTCAAAGGCAACTGGACTTCGTTTTTCCTAGAAAATGTTTTGCTCTCATCAAGAAAGCTTCTTCAGTTCTGAAATCCAGCTGCCTTTTGAAAAAGTACCTTTGGGATAACCATGACCTGGATGACTGAGAATCTCCATAGACGTTTATATTCATTGTACCACACCAAGGTCTGATGTCTTCACTATGCTACTAATATGAAAAATATCTATAAACTTAAAGCACTGGATTACAGGTAGTCCTTGACTTACATCCACAATTGAGCCCAAAATTTCTGTTTTTAAATGAGACATTTGTTAATTGAATTTTGCCCCATTTTAAGACCTTTCTTGCCACAGCTGTTAAATAAAGCAATGCAATTGGTAAATTAGTAACATAGTTAAGTGAAGCTGCCTTCCCTGTTGAGTTTGCTTGTTGGAAGGTCACAAAAGGTGATCACATGGCCTTGGGATCCAGCAACGGTCATAAATATGAACCAGTTGCCAAGCATTTAAATTTTGATCACATGATCATGGGGCTACTGCAAAGGTCGTAACTGTGAAAAATGGTCATAAGTCACTTTTTTCAGTGCTAATGTAACTTTGAACAGTCACTAAATGAATAGTTGCAAGTCGAGGACTACCTGTACTGATATATGAATAATTATAGAGGGATTTTGACAGGAATTTTTTAATGATAGCATTATGAACAGGCATAATGTTACTGAAACCAAAAAAATACACTATTGCCAAGGCCTGTTCTCTTCAAATTATTCTTTGTCATGGAGGCGGAGTTGTTATATTGGTTACTGTCTTTTCTGTTTCGTTATTTTATCTTATCAGAAAGGATCATACAATGATAGTACATTTTGTTTTAAAAAAGGAAAATATAGTTTTTGACAGATGAATGACTGTCTTACTACTTTGTTGTCATTCACAAATTGATTTTAGAAACAAAGTAACATGTTAGAATCAAAATATTTGCTCTCTTATTGTACATGTTTGATTCCTTTGATATAATCCCTGAATGTTGTTGAGTGAGAAGAATCATTTCAGTATTTTTATTCTTAGAACCCACTCCTTTGTCTTGCAGCTACTTGTGGCAGATACCATTAACAATTGCAGTAGGAAATACAAGTCACATCTCATCAGAGGCAATTATATGGGTGTCTAACAAATCAGGTAAACAAAAACTTTCCTCCCAGTAGAATTTCATCATGCATTCATATGTTTTTATGAACTATTTCTTCATCTTAGAAGAACTATTTCTGGATCTTAGAAAAATGATTAGCATTACTAAACATAGATTTTGTTTTGGAAAAATATGTTGTAAAAAGGAATCTCAAGATTTTTCCCCATAATAAAAATTGGAAAAATGAGAATATTATGAAATATCTATTTTATAACACAAGATAGTCTGGAAATATTTATTTGTCTTCATATATACAATCATTGTGATAAATTTATAAAAAATATATCTAGTTTACAATTAACCCAAGAAAATTATAAAGAAATTATGATTCTACTATAAGTCCTTTTCTGATGTTAACAAAGAGGGTTTCTTTTAGTCTTGGTTTTTTAAGCTTCTGCCACCATCATCTTTTTTTTTTTAGTCCCTCCCCCATACAATTCTAGTAGGAAATTATCTTGAAGTCACTTGGAGTCTCAGAAAACTGCTTTGGAGTTGGAGCGAAGTAGACAGGAAATTATCTAGCAAGAGTTGTATGGTGTTTCTCTTAGATGTTTTTCTCACTTATTCTCCTAAGCATGCAGTAGATCATTCCTGAATTGGCACAGTCTGCTTGAATGGCAAGACATATAAAAAAGAAGTCCTTGCCCTATCTGTGAAAAGAAGACAAAATGAACCTACATCATAGAAAAGTTATAATAATATTATTCTTTGCTGTGATTATATGAAAGGAAGCAATCAAAAACTTGTAGCTTTCTTTCCCTTTTGTTCTCTAACAGTTGTAATATCTTAGAACATGGTGCTTGGGAAAGGTGCATACACTGTAGAGTATTTGTTCTTTTAAATAAGCATAATTATCATAAGGAAATTTTTTGGCATTAGACATAGTTGGCTCAGATTTTCAAGCCAGATAACTTACTGATTCAGAGCTAGATGTTGAAGCCACTTTTTTTTACTTTTGTTTGAATGTGTGTATGTGTGTGTGTAAAAGAGGAGTTATGTGACTGCACCTTCCTTTGCTTAAACCAATTCTTTAGATTCATTCTTTGTATTCAGATTCATTGATCCTATCATCAAAAAAAAATAAGCCAATAGTAGCTAGCAGTTGTTGACAAACTATTATATATATTTCTAAGGAAATATATTGAAAATTACCAATTTGGGAATAAAGCTAATTCATTTTGAAAGCTGTATTTATTCATGAGCAATTCCATTTTACTTCATTTATATATTAATCAATATGCAGACAGTGAGAGGAGATTCATAGGATCACAAGAATTTTTACAATAAAAATCAGTAGCAATAGTGGTATTAGAATCTAGTCAGTGTATTTCAAATCATGTGCAGGGATATGTATAGTATGCACATTAGCTATGAATGATTGGCTAATGTGCGTGAATGTCATGAATGCCAGTCTGATCCAAGCTACAGTAGATAAATTTGAGAAGCTTAATATATTGTTAGTAGCTGAAGGATTAATTTGGGAAGACATGTTACTAGGAGCACTCTAAGAGCAAGGTATAGTAGATATATAGCAAGATATCTTGTTTGGTTTTCTGGAAGTTTCCTTGCATTCAAAAGATTCATAACAAAAGAATATTTGGGAAAGTTGCTTTCTTTTGAAAAGTTTTTGATGCATGAATAACCTAATTATACTTACATCTGCCTTAGTGTATATCCCTTTATGAAACAAAGCTACAATAGTCCTGGTACTGCTACTGACAAAACTGGAATGCTGATCTTTTAGACTTTGGCATCTTGAATTCCACAGTCAAGAAAAATAAGCAAAACCTTAAATAATTATGTATTTATTGCATATCTTTTAATGATGGAAGACTATGTCCGTTATGCATCTTCAGAGATACTGGTCACTTTATGTGATGAAGAAGCAGTCTCAAGTAATAGAAGTTATCACTTTTTGGAGAAATGGTATACATTCAACCAAGAACATTCAAAAGTTCTAGAGAACTCTCTACTCTTTTTCCAACCTTCCTTCTTTTCCAACTCTTATTTGTCCAAATGTAGAATCTTGGACTATCCACATTAGTTGTTGTTAGTTGCGAAGTTATGTCCGACCCATTGCGACCCATGGACAATGTTCCTCCAGGCTTTCCTGTCCTCTACCATCTTCTGGAGTCCATTTAAGCTCATGCCTACTGCTTCAGTGACTCCATCCAGCCACCTCATTCTCTGTTGTCCCCTTCTTCTATTGCCCTTAATCTTTCCCAGCATTAGGCTCTTCTCCAGTGAGTCCTTACAGTGCTTTTGCAAATGGATCATGCATCCAGGAATTCTGTTAAAGTAGTTTTTGCTATATTGTTATTTGTTGCATAGCAGCATTACTTTGTTAGAATACTTGATGCTGTTGAGGAAGATCCACTTGAAAGCAAGCAGCAGCTGATTCCCTCTCATGAATTTGAAATCCAAGTTTCAATACAATAGCTTCAGAGGGCCTAATATATCTGCCTGTCAAGAAAAGATCTTTCATCTTTTCTATTCAACGAAAAAATTGCCTGATCTCTTCCTTTCATAGCATACTTGACGTACTTGATGGATTTGACAAATGAACATATTTTTACATTGAGAATATAACAACCTTCAAAACTACCCATTGAGAAATTAAAGTTTGACTCTGTTGTCCTGCTTGATGTCTTTCAAATACTCCCATTTCTGAAGACCATTTGCTGTAGATTGAATATAAACAGTGGTGGGATTCAAATATATGAACAACCGGTTCTCTATGTGGATGCCACTTCCGGAAGTCCATTCTGGGTCTGGGCAACAAAAAATTAGCTACTGGTTCTGCTGAAGTGGTGCGAACCGGCTGAACCCCACCACTGTATATGAATCACCACCACACATTGTATGCTCACTGAGTGGCTTTGGGTACCTCTTACTGCATGTACCATTTTTCCAACTCTCTGAGTTTCTGCTGAAATATGAACCATGGATCAGGTACTTTGATATCAATTTATAGAGCTTTGGATCTTCATTTGGGTCTGGCATTTCAACGTTCACAAATGTATTATCTTGTCATCTTAGCTTGTATGATTCATCAAGCCACAACAGACAGTGCAAATGAGGAAGACACCACTGCCACATTTAGCACATAAACAATCTTCGTACCAAAGAGACCATGTATTTCAGTGAGGTACTATATGAACAACTTTCTCTTCAAGTTAAATAATTTGCCCAGTCATTTGGCTGCTGATTCAAAAAAAGATGCTATTGTATTTATGGCCAGTTTGGATTGCATGTAAATGTAATGAAAAGTGAAATTGCCATAATTTCATATGTACATCATGACATCTCGACATCTTTCTATCATATGTTTTGGTCCACAACAAATGTTGAAGAGAATATGATGCATCTTATGATGTTTTCAAAATCATCATCATCGTTATCCAATATATCAGTCTGGCCTCTGTATATTGTTGATCTCCAGGTTGTTTGCTTCATTTGGATCAACCTGTTGGTTTCAATCTTATCAGCCATGTCAACCATGTATTATTCAAATAGATATCCTCCTCTTAGAATATTATTTAACTCATTCCTATGATTCATTAGTCAACATGCATAACAACACACAGCCATTAGTAGCTTGTGGTTTGGAACTAATGATGCCAACCACCACCAGAAAGGAGAGAAAAGTATTATTGAAAGCTGTCATAGGAATGATGGGACTCTGAAATTATTTTCAAACCACCTCCTCATTCTTTCAATATAATGTGGTGGGTGGGATCATTCTACTCAGTCTCCAGAGGGATAGGATAGGACTGATTTACCTGATCTTTGGCAGTTAATGGTGGGACCAGACTACCTGGCCTGTGGAGGGTTGGGCAGGACTAGTTTAATGAACTTCCAGGTGGCAGCTTAGCAGTGCAGAAATGCTGAAGTGGCCACAAATTTGCCAGATTTCAACCCCATGATGGTCATAATGCTAATACTCCCTTATATACTTTATCTTAATTTTATTGTACTCATGACATGCAAAACTCCATAGAGTAGGCAAAAAATGTCCTGGATATTGTTGTGTCCTAAGCCTGCAAAGGCAGATTCGGGACGTTGCAATGGTCCCGGGCAGTTGCAAGCTGCCCGGGACCAGACTGGCTGGTGCCAGCGCTCGCGCGCATGCGCGAGGCGCGCAGCGCACCTAAATGTTGCCTTTTGGCCCGGGGATTGTCTTTAAGAGAGGCTGAGAGGTTTGTCCTGCTCAGAGTTGTAACGGGGGCTACTGAAGACCAATAAAGAGTTCCTGAAACCACAGAATATCTCGCGCCGTCATTGCCATTAACCGAGGACTCAACACTGGTGACGAAGGTGGGATTGCCTTACAATTACACAAAAGATTGTAAGCTTACCCTGGAGTCCTGAGACAGCGAGGAAACAGCGTTAAATTCAGCAACTGCCTGCCAATACAGTTTCGTTTGAGGTAAGCTGGCTGATAGACCCTTCCTGCTTTATTGAAGATGGCAAAGATAAGAAAACTTTCTGAGTTTGATGTTACACATCCAGAAAGATGGGAATCTTATGTGGCCCGAGCAGAAAACTACTTCAGAGTAAATCAAGTGAGAGAAGAGGGCTTAAAGGCAGCCACCCTGCTGTGTCTTTGTGGTCAAGATGCATTTGAAATTGCTGAAAACGTAGTAGCTCCTGCACCTCTTGAATCTGTTACCTACACAGTTCTTAAGAAGTTACTGAAAGAGCATTTTCAACCCAAGTTGTCTGTTATTGCTTGGAGACATAATTTTGAACAGCGGGATCAACGGGCTGGTGAATCAACTAAAGAGTACATTGCTGCATTAAGAAAGGCAGCTAGGCATTGCGAATTTAAAGACTTAGAGGAAAGACTGAGAGACAGACTTGTATGTGGACTGAGAAACAGAGATGTACAACAAAGGCTTTTTGCCAAAGAGGACATATCATTCCAAGATGCCTTGAGAGAGGTTACTGCAGAAGAGGCAGCAAGTGGGGCAATCAAAAATATGAGGCC